CATTAATATGCAGAGCAATGCCACGCAACAGAGGCTGCTGGGGTAGGAAATGAGATCCATCATCTGTTGTTAGAGCTGCAGGATAACTTCAGGGTCAGCAGAAATCAGGCACAGGGGCTGGACTTGGGCAAGGATTCCTCATTAGGACATGGAGCGTGTGTGTGGATGGTATGGGGAGGGGAAAGGCAAACCTGAGCAGCTTTGGGGTTCCTCCCATCCTCATCCTGCAGTGTTGGTTTGGATCTTCTGGATCCTGTAGCTGTTACAGTCACTCCAGTGACTCCTCAGTGCAGACAGACTATGCCCAAACTCGATAGCTTGGATTGCATTTGTATAAATTGAGTTAATACCCAGTTTCAGGCTGTCTCCTGCCTGCTTCCACAGGCCAAGGATCTTTTTTCCTTTCTTCCTGCCTTCTTGATTGGCACCTTCATTTCTGCCTTATGAGTCTTTTCTTGGTTTTGGTTGGTTGTTTGCCACCAGAGACTGATTTCTACACCCACCACACCACCTAGGCAGGTGGTTGCAGGGGGGAGTGCCTGCACCTGTTTGTGGTATCACAGATTTTGGGTGATTTTGGTGCCTTTGTGGGTAGCAGTATGGGCTGCCTGGGGGTGCTTGTGAAGGAGGTCTGCTTCCCCTTTACCTGTGGGTATAGAATGTCTTCCCAATAGCCATCAAGAGCTTTTTCTGCTTTGCTTTCCTTGCTCTGAAAGGCCTGGGAGTATCAGGAGCAGGGGTGGCAGGGAGTAGGAATGTTTCCTGTGATCTGTCGTGGATCAGCAAGGAAGGGAGACCAGCTGAGCAATGAATTATGTATCTCCTCTTTAAATAAAGAGCATTTCCATGCCTTGGAAAGTTCAAAAGATTATTCTACGTGCTGGTTTCTGATACTGGACAAGCTGGAAATGTTAGTGGGTATGTTAATGTTGCTCCTGGCCCTCACAGCGTTCACTTCTGAAAAATAGAAATGGTTTTAATGTGCTTGGCCTGGGAGCTTTGATTTGAAATGAATACTGTCAGCCGTGTTAAAAAGATGATAAATTACGCTGAAAAACGTGTTTTGGTTTCCAGCAGCAGCACTGGGGTTGTGCCACAGTTACAGGAGAGGCAGAGTCATTCAGAATGCAGGTGTTTGCCCCTCCTGGCTCTTACCTTGGCACTGCTGGGCCGCCTGGGCTGGTGCAAGGTGTTCCTGCCCAGGGCAGAGAGTTGGCATTGGAGGGGTTTAAGGTCCCTTCCAACCCAGACCAGTCTGTGATTCCAGGGTTGTCCCGTGGTTGCTCTTGGCTGGGAGTTAAACCAGCTCCCTGTGCAGCGACTCCTTTTTCCTCAGGCTCAGGATCACAGAATCACAGAATAATTGAGGGTGGAAAAGCCCTCCCAGACCATGGATCCACCCTGTGTCCAGTGCCCACCTTGTCCCCCAGCCCAGAGCACTCACTGAGTGCCATGGCCAGGCCTCCCTTGAACACCTCCAGGGGTGGGGACTCCACCACCTTCCTGGGCAGCCCCTTCCAGTGCCTGACAACCCCTTCCATGAAGAAATTTCTCCTGATGTCTTGGGGACTCCTGCTTTTTGGGATAATTTTTCCTGTTGCTGGCTGCTTTATGTGCTCATTAAAAGCAGTGGGGATTCGTGGGTAAAAGGGAAGGTAGAAAATGTAACCCAGAGTAAGCTCTAATGTGTTTGTAGATGAGAACCAACTTGACGTGTTTCTGTGTTTGAGATTTATGATCTAATCATTCCTTCCCCTGCACAGCAGGGACTGGAGCAGCGTGTAGTTATTTACATATAGGGAACATTAAACAGCCACCTCTTTAAACCATATGTGAACATAAAATCCAACAACCACTGCTGAGTAATGAGTCTTTGCGAAAGATGAGAATAAAAATAAAGTGGAAACAAGCAGAATGAAAAGGTATTATTGCAAGAAGTAGCTGTGACAGCAGCACGTTATATCCCTGTGGCAGGGTGAGAACGTGACCCTGTGAATGTGTCCTCCTGAGTTCACACTGTACACGCTGAACACGTGCACCAGCTTTGCTCTGTGCTCCTCTGGAGCTGTGATGGGTTTTGGGATGCCGTGAGGAACTAGAGGATCTTTGAGTTTGGAGGTTAGCAAAGGGGGTTAGCAAAGGGGCTGTTAGTGGTTTCTCCCCCCCCTTCCCTTTTCAGGAGAAAAATGCATGGAAAGGGCATGTTCTGTGGAGAATTTGCTGCTCTCTATCATATGAACCCTAAAATACTGTGTTTTTATGCCTCTTTCCACTGGCGGCTTAGTTCATTGAAATGGACTCTCCTGTCCTTTCCCATTTCTAGTGCTACTTACAAACAGGAACTTGAAAATAATTCCCTGATAAAGGGGAAGGCATCCCCAAATGGGTACAACTGCATCCTGCAGAGGCCAGGATTATCCCAGAGGCACGTGTTGTCGGTGGGTCTCAGCACACAGGTTAGATCCAGAAGCTGGTAGTTGTGACTGAGAAATGTATTTATTCCTTCCCAGTGAATCCCCTCGTTGCTGGGGTCACTCTGATGGTGAACCTGAGAAGAGTAACTTTGGGATTTAGAATAAAATAAGAAGCAAATTTCTGTGATATGGGGGTTAAGATACTGAGTTTCTATCACAGAAATAAGACTGTTTTCTACTTCTAAAACACCCTTTCAATGGCATTTTAACAACATAACTGTCCTTTGTGTATCTCATCTTTTAACCCTCTGCACTGCTGGGCCCTGAAAGGAACACGTTAAAAAATGTGGAAGGCAGGGGGCTTCAGAAATTTTTTTGTCCTTAAATCCCCACTATTTTCAAGTAGGATTTTAGAAATCTCTGCTGTATTTTAATTTGGTTTGTCAGAGTATAATTACCATGGATGAGGTAAAAAACTCATTTAAACACGGCAAGTGTGGTGAAGAATCCAATTTTCAGAAATCAGTGGAAATGTAATTGGAGTCATTAAGTGCTGACTTCGTTAATTAAGAGTCGGGTTTTGACGTTTCAGGCTTCTGCTGCTAATTGTCCGTGGAGAGGGTACAAAAATGTTGTGTTTGCCGAGGAATTGGTGGCTCCCCGGACCTGTGGAGCTGCTGGCCACACTCAGACAGGTGTTGGTAGCATGGCAAACAGTGCCTCCTCTTTATTTGTGTCACAAAGTACAGAGCCAAAGCAATCCCTTTAGGATAATATTCAGGAGAAGGGTTTTTCTAAGCAAGAGATGGATGCTCAGCTCCTCAACCTATCTTGCTTTCAAACTTGGATCTTGGGTTGCAGGTCCATCTTGATAAAATATCTGAATCTCTCTGCAGACTGAAAGTGCTGAGAAAGTTTTGAATAAAAGAAATCAGTGGTAGAAGTGCATCCTCATCATTCCTTGTTTTCAGAATTATCTTTAGGAAGTCAGGATGTTCTGCATTTTTAACTCCTGCAGTTTGAGCAAGATGCTTTTGTTATGATAATGGAGAAACCATAAAAACTCCTGACATGCTGATAGTTATCATAATATAAAACAAGCCTTATGCTTACTTTCCTATTAAAAATTCTAATTTTTCCAGAGCAATGGCACTTATAAGGTGTTTTTCCTTTCATTTTGTTGTTTTCCCAGCACCCAGAGGATGCTGTTTGGGCCTCCAGCATGGGAGCTGAGGCGAAAGGTTTTGTGCTTTTGAGCTTTTACTCCCACAAACAAATCCATCTCTTGCTCTGAGTTTGAGCCTGTGGTTATCTTCTGTCTCCTCAGAAGCCAAAGTTCAGCTAGAAAGTTACCTAAAATGTGTTTTTAGCATGTTGGCTGTGCTCATTTCTTAGATGCGGGAAAACCACGGGCAGCTTAAACACCTGTTTTACCCAGAAATCCCCTTTTTGGGATTGTGGTGTTTTTTCACAGTGCAAAAGTGTGCTTCCCTTCTCCTCCTAGAGGTTCTGACCCTTGAAGCTGAGTGGGTGGTTTCTCCTGAACTTGTTCACGTTAGTGTTGGATGTGGGGCATCCATGGGATACTCTTTGGAACTGGACACCCTGAGGGAGGGCCCAGAGGAGTAGCCTGGGCCATGTTCAGAAGAAATGATCATGGAATCACAGGATATCTGGGGTTGGAAGGGGCTCTTGAGGATCACTGAGTCCCTCCCCTGGTCCCTTTGCAGCCTTGTGGTTTCTGGGTGACGCACTCCTCAGAATACCTGGCAGTGGCTGAATGTGGTATGACAGAAGCCAGGGAAGCACCTTAAGTAGCTGGAACAGGCTGGAGTCATCATGCCAAGCTCTTCTGACCAGGCTGGTTAGGAAGGACTGTCTCTTCATTGCCTGGGCTTCCATACAGTCAGAGAGCAGCCCTGGTGCTTGCTGATGATTCCAGGCTGGGCTTTCTGTAGCGTGTTGTCCCCGTCTCCCAGACACTGAGCTTGCAGCTAGAGATGAGGGGAGTAATGAGGATACGCTCTGCTTTAGGCATAATTTCCTTTTCCCTTCGCTGTTTCCTTTTGTTTTATATCTTCAGGCAGCCCATGTTGCTGCCTAATTGGATTACTGGGTCACTTGCTGACTGTGGGCCGTGCAGGACTGGGACCGGTCCCTGCGGCTCCGCAGTTCGGGAGCTGATGTGGGCTGGCAGCCCTGCTGAGCCACTGCAGTCCTGGGGGCCTCGTGGAAAACGGCATTTCCCAACCTCCAAACCCTACAATGGCTGCTTGCAGGAATGGATCTGTTCCTTCCTTTCACCTGGCTCCTTAGCTTTAGGGAGGAACAATTCCAAATGCCTTTTTTTTGTAGCCTCCAAGTCTTCTGGGGGCCAGGTGGAAATGCAAAGCCTTGAGTGCAGTTCGGGTGTTTGCCTTTGAACAGCTCTCACTTAAAACGAGGGCTCTGTATCTTAAACAAACCAGCTCCTTGCAGTTTCCATGGTAAGCTCTCCTTCATAATTGAACAGGAGTCATAAACGTTGCATAAACCCAGGGAAGCTGCTGCTCTGTGGTGTCAGCCCTGTGTTTGCTCTCTGTGCAGTGCAGCTCCCCAGGGAGGCTCCTCGTGCGTCCCACGGCTGCCCCAAGACTCCTCTCCAGACCCTTCTGCTGAGGAGAAGCCAACTGGAGGAACTGTGAAGGCTGAAGTCTGTTGTCAATGGGACTGTACAGAGGGAAAACTCAGACCTTCTGCTTTCCAGGGATCCCTCTGCAGACTGTGCTGTCAAACTCTCCTTCCGGAGCTGCTGTGTTCACCTAGAAGCTGCCAGACCTTTGGAAAACAAGAGACCTTGCCAAGGTAAGTATGAATGACATATCAGATCATGCTTTTAAAAATCCATTCTTTCATTTTATTTTTTATTTTCAACCAGCTTTGCTACTTCTGGGACAAGAACTTCTGTGCTGTCCCACCTCTTAGGTTTTATAGTTTAAATGTGTGGATGTCTGTTACGATGCCATGTGTGTCCCACCACATGTTACCCCCCTTCCCTCTTCTCTGCCTCTTTAATTATGAGGATTTGAGCCTCACATGCCTAAAGTTTGTCACATGGACCCAACACCACTGAAAAAACTCCAACCCACTAAAAAAGCCCCTGAGACAGCCCCAGGTGTAAAGTAGACCTCAGGGTTTTGATGCCTGAAGCTTGGCACATTGTATTGCCAGCAGTGGAGCTACTTGAAAGGTTTCCCCTCCTAGGGAAAACAGTGACCTTGGCTGTCACAGCACAGGATGATGGTCCCAGACCCCTGCCTGTGGGCAGGATGGTGAGGGATGCTGTGCTCTGAGCTTGTCCCTGCCAGGAGCACAGCACTTCCAGGCAGGTGATGATGCGGTGTGCCCTGTGTCCTTTTCCGCTGGTCTGGAAGCGTGTCCAGGGGTGTTATGTTACCTTGGAAAGACTACTTGTGGGAGACGACTCGTGGATGTTGTTTTGCTGCTTCTCCTTGCTCGTGGCACTGTGGAGTTCCAGGCAGGGGCTGCTCCTCCATCCTGTGCTCTCGCACTTCCCGCTCACCGCACAGATGGAGTGTGAAGCTTCCCGGTGCTCTGTGGCAGCAGCACCCACAAGCACAGAGTGACAGACTGATCCCTGGATTCCCCTCCTTTCCCTCCTCCTCCAGAGCCAGCAGAAGAAAGGTTTTTGTTCTTTTCTTTGTCTGAGTTTGTGTGGTGCAGCGTGTTGGCAACGTGCCTACGGCCTGCGAGGGGAGGGGACAGGAGGGGGGTCAGGGGAGGCCACAGCAGAGTCATCATCATGCTTTTTCACAGAATCCCAGAGTCGTTTAGGTTGGGAAAGACCTCTGAGATTGAGTCCAACCTGTGCCTGATCCCCACAGAACACTGAGTGCCATGTCCAGTGTTGTCCCCATCCATCCTGTGGCTGTGGTGCTCTGTCTTTAGGTGTCCATGATCTGTCCAACCTGGCATGGAACACTTGCAGGGCAACCACAGCTTCTCTGGGCAACCTGTGCCAGGGCCTCACCACCCTCACAGGGAAGAATTTTTTCCTAATATCCAACCTAAACCTACTCTCTGTCAGTCTGAAGCCATTCCCCCTTTTCCTGTCTCTCCAGGCCCTTGTAAATAGTCTCTTTCCATGTTTCTTGTGGGCTCCCTTCAGGTACTGGAGGTTGCAATTAGGTCACCCCGAAGCTTTTTCTTCTTCATGCTGAACAATCCCAATTCTCTCAGCCTTGTAAAGGATTTAGGAAAAAAACCCAAACCTGAGGAATTTTCCCTTTAACAATGCCTTGTTGCACAGAGGCAGGATTTCTTGCCCTCTGGCATTCTCATGTCAGGAGGGCTCTGAGTGGCAGAGGTCAGGATTTGGGGAGGGGGCTGTGGGTCCAGGCTGACCCCACAGAGTGACCCATGGAGTGCAATCCCTACAAAGCGAGGCTGTTCCCAGGGGGATCTGGCTGCCGTGTTCCTATTAAAATGTTCCAGAGAGGGGGGGATAAGGAGGAAACTAAGCCCGTTTCCTCTCTTAGATTTTTAGGAGACACTTAAGGGAGCGCAGTTGGATGAGTAAGGGCAAAGGCAAATTGCAGAAAGCACTTACTGGGCTTGTCTGGGGATTTGAGCCGTGCAGTCTGTGGTGCGAAAGCTGGGCTTTGCTGTAGGAAACGGCAATAAAAGCCGACAAGCCTAAAGACCCAGATTAATTTAGAAACTCTGCAGCTCAGGGGAGGGAGGGTAGAAACAGAAGTGCAGTGGCTCAGACTGACCTTTCCATCAACTCCACGGCTCTTCCAAAGATGTTTGTGGTGTCTGAGCTGGGGTTGATCTGTGGGATCCCTGGGTGATGTGGGGCAGCTGGAGCTCAGGCTCCGGGGTTCCTCCTTGCTCACCAAATGGCTCTGGACCTCCAGGAGCATGGGGCTCTTCGGCCAGTGTGGGGTGACACTGTCCATCGGTCTGTCCAGCGGGCTCGGGATGGTGCTGCCAAAGTGTCGGTGCCAGAATCTGTCCCTAAAGCTCAGGACACAGTTTGCAACATGGAGCAGCTCCTCTGTGCAACTTGGAGAGGTTGGATCTCTGTTATATGTGCTGCCTGACGTGGGTCAGTGGGTGTTATACAGGATCTAATTATCCTGATGGCCCAAGGTACAAAAGAAGGAGGCCTGTTCACCTCGGGCTGTGTTGCTGACTGTGGGTGCTTTGCTTCCCTCTTTCCGTCCCTTCCATCCTCTCACAAAGCTACACAGTGAAAGATGATACCAGAATTCCTCTTCCTCAGGCTGCTACAGACAGTTGTTTCTATGATCTTTGTTTACATAGATCCAAGTCAGATTCAAGTGCCTTTTAAACTCAGAGGACTTGTCAGGAGGTGGGAGACTGTCATCCCCTTTAGTCTTTTCTGTACAGGTGTGTCATCGTGTGACCAAATTCTATCCTGAAGTTGTTTAAAAAAGCCCTTACATTGTGATACTTGGAGATGTTCATGTTCAAATGTCACATGGGCATACATATTGTACTTTATAATGGCATCTTAGCAGCTTAGGAAGTGATTAGTTTACTTTCGTGCCAATGTTTTCGCCTGTGCAGAGTGGGAGTTCTTACTGACATGTGCTGAAGTCTTTCTCCTGCCCTTCAGGGTTTAAATAAAAACCACTTTCTTTAGGAGCATGTCAGAGAAATTCTGTTTTGAAAAGCTGTTTGGTTTCTTAGGAGCATGTGCACATATGTTTTTCTCTTTATGTTCTTAGGTTTCAGTGGTATTTAAGCCCCATTTTTCAGAACTGAGTGATTTAGAAGCGTTAGACTCTTTAACAGGACCTAAAGCGAACAAGGCTGTTTCTTAAACTGCTGACACGTGTGTACCCATGTGCATTGGTCATTGGAGGGCCACAGTTGGATCCTTGGATCACTGCAGAAGCTTGGGAGCTCCTCACTCTTTGGTAAAGGCAGTGGGCCGGGGCTGTGCTGTGTCAGCCCCAGAGGGCAAGTTGGTGTCTCATACACTGCCTGGTTTGTGGTTATTCCAGCAAAGAGGTGCAGCCGCTGCTGCCCAGAGGCCTGTGGAGCGTGCCTGGGACTGTGGCAGAGGTGTGGCCCACACTGGGTGTCCAGCCACCACCTGTAGCAGAGGTTTCTGCTTCAGGTCCTGGTGGTCACTGTGCCCTCAGTGTTGCTCCCAGGGGTTGCAGCAGTGATACCTAGGTCTGGTGGCTTGGAATTTCCACTGAGTTTGTGGTCTCTGCAGAGCTTAAATCTCTTCATCATTCTTTTGAACCTTTTTATTTCAGCAGTCAGAACGGGGAGAAAGAGCTGTAAATGAGTTGTAATGCCAGGCTGAGCTGGGAGTGCTGCCTGTTAGGAGTGGGGTGTGCTGGAGTTTGACTAAGCCTTAGCAGGCACTGCTCATTTCACTGCAAGGCCTAAATCAGATTATTGTCTGAGTCTCCCCTCAGCAGTTTAAATCCTTATCAAATATTCTCTGGTCTCATGCATTTGAGTTTCCCTTCTTCACTGTCTGTGGAGTAAAGGGAACATAGTTTAACCCTCACACAACTTTGTCCTCTCTTTACAGCCTTTGCCCTGTTAACTTTCTAAGGACAAAAAGCTCAAAAAATAGATAGAAATGGATAGAAAAACTGTCATGGTCTTTTGTAAACGACATAAGACTATCCAGATGTGTTGATGTAAACCAAGGCTCCAGTAATTCTGAAAATGAGAAGCTCTCCATGCATATACAGCTCCTAGAAAACCGATCCATCAGTTATTTGTGGGTTTTTTCGCATCTGGAACGATTCCCTAATTTTGCAGGAGACTTGGTGTGCATTTCTGCCTGCCTCATTGACTCCTTTGTGTAAAGGACCAGGAATACGGATCCCAGGGAGCTGTATGAACAAATGCTCTGGTTCAGTGGTGGTGTGCCCTGTGTCAGGTACGTTTGGATATAGTTAATCCTGCCTGGGGAGGCAGCAGGATGCTTTGTACAACCTTTGGAAGTTTCTTCCAAGCTGGTCTAGGCTCTGTTGGCTCAGACCAACCGGGAGTGTTCCATGTAGGAGCTCAGTGAGTCCTGGTGGAAGCTGTAGCTGTATTTCTCCACAACCTGGCATTTCATTTGGTTTCTCACGTTACCCAGCTTAGTCATCTCTGTAGAAATCTCAACTTCTTCCTCCTCTCCTGGCGTACAAACCAGATCCCGCTTGGTGGATGGTGCAGTGGTTTGCCCTAGCAACCACACAGATCTCCCAAAATAGCTCCTTCCATGGCTGCAGAGCCTCTCTGAACCTCAGAATGTAGACTGCACTCTCTTGTTTTGCCTCTAATGGTCAGACAGAAAATAACCAGTGCTGTGAGTGGACTTTGTGCACAGAGCGAGGCTCTTTGGGACACGAGGGAAATTCCTGCAGTGCTTATGTGCTGAGGGAAAATGCCTTTGGAGTCAAACCATTCCTTCTGTGTGCCCACGTGTATGATGTTATTCATGGCCTGTTCCCTGCTCAGGGAGCACCTGAGCTGGGAAGGCTCCTGGTGCCAGCCTTGGCTGTGCCAGGGTTGAAATTCCCTGCTGGAGTGGCTGCTCTTGGCCCCTTTGCCCCTGGCACCACACGCCCTTCCTGAAGAATGGGACGGCCACTCCATGAGGTCTCCCCTTTCTTGGAACACGGGTGTACAAGTTTCTGCTGCTGTTTGTTTTTTGTGATAATCAGAGCAAGAAGTATTTTAATACACTTTTGAAGTGTGACCATTTTCTTTTCCCTGCCTCTCCAGCCTAAGAAAATTCCTGTGTTTGGGATATCTTTCCATAGCATTGCAGGAGGATGAGATTTATGGAGATGTGTTCAAATGCTGCTCATCTTCTGTTGAGGCGATGCTTTTTGCAATGATTATCTTTCCCTTGCTTTAGGAGGGTGTTCTACAGTCTGGTGTGTTGTTATAGTCACCTTTCCTACTTATCAGCTTCAGTTCTCCTCCAGATCCTTTCCTCAACCATCTCCTTTTTTGCTATATTTAAAAGAATGCCTTACAACTCATAGTTTTTAAAAAATCCGATCCAAACCCCAGAAGGGAATTAAAACAGCAGCAGGTAATTCAGTTTTGTTGTGTGATGACACGCAAGATGTAGGTTTTTGAGGGCCAGAAGTTATGTAGATTGTTGGTATAAGAAGACAGAGGACAGCTGAGATTAAAGTGGAGGGGGGCAGACATTGATTTGCTTGTATGTGGGAGAGAAGAGACCATCAGCTGCAATATTTACACTCAATTACCCAGGGAGGGTTCTGTCATTATTTGCGTTCTCTGGAGCATTCTGTATTCTCCAGCATACTCTTGCCATATGTATTTGGTTGCCAGAAGTTTATATACATTTTCTGCTTTTCATTCCAAACAATGTAACATTTATTACGAGTTCCATGAGTTGTTGTTTCAAGGGGAGGAAAAAATCTGCACCAAGCTGTGCTCTGGCACCATAACCACACTCAGTAAGGGCTGCCTGCGTCACAGGGAGGGTGAAGAGATGCTGCAGGAACCAAGGCACTGTGTTAGTTGTCTTAAAAGTCATTAAAATCTCTTTGGGGAGTGTTCCTGATTCCTGGCTGGTGGTTGCAAAGGTGGCTTTTAACCCCTTAGGCCCTCCCCACACTGTGGGGAGAAAATCAGGCTCGTGTTTGTAAAGCGGTGATGTGCACGTCATGACAGTGATCTTTGGGGACCTGTCCCTCCCTGCCCCTCTGAGAAAGGTGCTCTGCCACTCCACAGCCAAAACTGGAGATGGGATTTGGCCTGGGAAGAACCTGTAGAGCCAGGGTTGGGTTGTCCCTAAGCCCTGTGGCTCTGTGGGGCCCTGCAGAGCTGCACTGTCCCCCCCCTCGGCATCTTCTCCACTGCAGAGTTTCCAGGGACTCTTCCCAGCGTCCTTCCCCAAGCTGGGGGAGGGTGTCCCAAAAGGGAAATGACAAGGAACCATTCTGGGGCACGGCAGGAGGAAGCTTCTTGGTGACAGATTGCTCTGGTAATGGGCTGTGTGCTCCAACAACAGGCAGGAAAACTGTGCTGGACATAATGATGGATAAAAGGAGGAACCACAGCATTGCTCTGACACTGTTTTCCATGCTCACCTTTTTTTTTTCCCCTGGAATTACTTACGCTTGATTGTTGCAATTGATTGCAATTGTAAGGGCTAATTTTGGTGCATAATTTTTTTTTTTTTCTGGAAGCCTGCCAAGTGTTTGTGTAATGGAGGAAAACAACTGCACAGGGTTTGGTACAGGCTGTGCTTGTCTTCCTTTCTCCAGCCAAACCATTCCACGGGCTGATATATACAAATATATATATACACACACATATATATGTGTGTATATATATATCAATAGGCAATATCTGTATACAGCAAACTTCCTTGAAGAGGAAAACTCAGCCTCCTGAAAAAAAAGAAGAGCAATTAACAGACCTGTGATGAGTTTTAAAAACAAACAAACTAAATTTAATGCCTGTGATAAAGTGGTCATTGCCTCAGTTTTAAGACAAATACCAAACCCAACAGAGTTCACTTTTAAACTTTGCATGATGGAATGGAGAGTAAATAGTGTTGTTCCAACCTCAAGAGACAAATCCAATATGTTTAGCTGATGGAGTTGAAGACCAGTACGTGAGTATATAGACCTGGGCCCTTGGAAAATGTCATGGCTGTTTTCCTTGCAGCCCAGTCCAATTTCCATGAAGTTTGAAGGAGAGATTTAGTTGACACAGGATAAAAATCACAGATTTATTTCTGAGTGAAATATTAACTCAGGAATAACTTTTCTGTCTGCATCCACATTTTCACAGGGTTCAAGGTACGGTGAAGCTGGGCTGGTTTTCAGGGTTTTCCTCTTTTCCCACCTCGTATTTGGCCAAAGAGGAGCAAGAAATTTGAAGGGGTAAAGAGGATGTGAAGGATGCAGGTGTGTTGATGGTGTTTAAAGCTTTTTGGGACGATTTTTATATGGATCGAAAATTGATACTAAAAAGAAAGCCTCATCTGATAGATGACTTATGGTACTGAAACGATGGGCTCAGTTGTAAGATAAGGTACCAGGACTCCTCGGAACTTGTGTCATCTTTCTCCCCCAGGTTTTGGTGTGTCCTCTTGCTTGGTTTTTATCCTGTCATTCCAGCTGTGATTTATCCTACATGCTTTTTTAAAAACAAGTTACCCTGTCAAGCTGCCGTTACACAAACATTTGTCCTGGTTATCCTTCCAGAGTTATTCACAGATGTAAGTTCTGGCAGACTCAGGGCCAAGAATGATGATAGGTGGAGGATCCACCTTCTTGAAATATCAGCTCACTTTTTTTGTGTTGTTTTGGGGTTGTTTTAGTTCAACTTGATGCCATATGGGTTTTACTTAAGGACATGGTTTGTCCCTGCAAAAGCATCTTTGAAGGCAATAGAACAGTTTAAATATGTTCAAGAGAATTAATTAAAATGCCTTTTAACTGACGGGGAATGAGAGCTTTTTTTTTTTTTTTCCAAAATAAAGCTCCAGCCTGGTGAAACATTTTGTATCAGTTACAAAAGGAATTTCAGTACATTCCTCTAAAACAAGAGATGAGCCAACTGCATCTGCTGGGTGTGGGAGTGACATTTCAGATCCCACTGACAGCCGAATTGTCAAACTGAACATCATCTCTCTCTCTTGCTGGTGCTGACTGAGAACTCCACACTTTCTAGGAGCAAAACTGCTCCTTTGGAGAGTGCTGGTGGAAGGCATGGACACCTCTGGGCCTGGAACAGGCTGCCAAGCCTACATAGCTTATCTCCATAAATCAGCCCTCCTTCCCCTGTCAGAGAGCACTGGAGAAAGGGAAAACACAAAGTGTTTTTTGAGCAGTGAGGACTTTCACTGGTGGTTTATATTTACAATTATTCCAGGTGGTATGACAGTGTGTCATCCTGTGGTGGTGTTCCTCAGCCTGGAGCAGGTGTAATCATCTCCTTATGTACATGACAGCTTCCATTGGTACATCCCAAGGTGTGTTACAGGAGACCTTTGATGTCAGGTCTGAATAGTGAGTGATGTGAGAAGTGAAATGTCACAGAGGGGGGACACTGTGGCACTCCAGCAGAGCTGTAAGACCTGTCTGCTGTGCTGCCAAGTGAGCAGCTCTAGTCTGTAGTATTTTGTTTGCAAGGAGATGACAGAATGGTAGAATTGTGTAGGTTAGAAGAGCTCTCTGGTCCCACCTCCATCTCAAAAAGCACTTACAAGCCTTTTTATGTGTGTGGATGTGTATAAACAGTGATCTGGTGCAGCAATACTATGCATTTTGCCACCTTCTTGGGTGCTGTTGCACATTTTCTGAGAGGATCTGTTTGCCTTGTTGGTCTGGAAGGGATGTACTCAGTCCTGTAACTCAGCTCTCAAAGCCATACCACAAAGAAAGCAACAACCTGGACTGGAAAGAAGAGTTTTCAGAGAAACAGGTGCAGAGAGTGAGTTTGGAGGAAGAGAAAGCCCAGGCAGGCACAGATAAAATAATAGTGCCAATGGAGCCAAGAGTGTAATGGAAGGCTAGAGCTGTGGACAGGACCAGGAGACAAAAGCAGCTGTAATGAAAGGGAAGCAGCACATCAGAGAGGCTGATCTGAAGGCAAAGCTGGAAATGAAAGCAGAGGGGAGGTTTCCCTCTTTGATCTGTTTGATCTGCACCTGCGGCTTTGTCCGGGAACCTCCTTTGTGAGGGGGATCTTCCAGAGGTACCTGTGAAAGCAAGTTCATGTTGCTGTGGGTGCAGAAGAGCCTGTTCAGCCAGGAGATGTTTCTGCAAGGGTTCCTTGCTTTGCAGGACAGAAACCAAAGGTGAGGACCCTGATCCAGTCTGGTTTGCAGTGTGTCCACAATCACTGATGTCTGGATTCAGGTACAAGCTCTGTTTTAAATAAGAAC